AAAAAAAAAAAAAAAAAAAAAAATCCGTATTTAAGCTCTATAATTTGAATCACTCTACAAAAATGTTTGATCATTACTTAAATGACTTTAGTATATAAATCTAAATAGGAAAAATGTAGATGAACGAACTCCTAGCAGCAATTTATTGATTTAAAAATAAACTTTATAGTAAATTAATAAATTATATTTTATAATCTTAAAAGTAATTCTAAAAATACAATAAAATCTCTTTAAATTTAAACAATATGATTTTTTTTTGGTCGATCATGAAATCAATGTGAATTTCATATTATTAAATAGGCAGCTGTACATACAACTAAATGAATTTAATAAGCATAATATGTACCTGGTAGAAAATGTACAAAAATAAAGTATTCATGAACCAAACCTTTACAACAATTACATCAACCTGTGGTAGGACTTATCCTGAGTGCATGTACTTTATAATTTGGTGAATTGGAGGCATAATTTTTTAGGGTAGAGCCAAGAGTTAAATGATGCACAAGTGGGACCTTCCTAGTAATGTCCAGGTCAGCTTAATTACAATAAATTTCGTATGATTTATTTCAAAATTAATTTTTAAACCAAAGTTTTGATATTTATTAAAGGGAGAATATTAATATTGTAGATCAAATGCAGCATTCATTCATATTCCCACGGTCTCCGAATAAAATCCAACTCCTCCTGATGCGCATCCAACGACAAGTTTTTTGGGCCGGTGATGGCCCATTGTTGTGTGTAGTCCATGAGATTCACGTTGTGCCCTCTTATTGCATGTTTGTAAGATCTAACATTAGTCGAACATGGGAACGTAACAGACATTTTCTAAAAATATGAGGCTGACAATGATACGCAACGGATCAAAGTATACCATATTTGCTAGCAGAGGGTTTAAGTTGTTACTAATGGTATTAGTGCCAACGTGGACGGTGGGACCCCCAAGGGGGTCTACTAATGGTACAAGAGCCAAACACTAGGCGGTGTGCTAGCGAGAAAGTTGGGCCTCCAAAGGAGGTAGATTATGAGATAATGGCGTGGAAACGTCTCCCAGAACCAGTCAATTGGGTGAGGACTTACTAATGATATCAGAACCAGACACGGGGTGGTGTGCCAACGAGAACACTGGCCTCTAAAGGGGTGGCTTGTGAAATAAGTGTGTGTAAACCTCTTCTAAAGCTAGATACCGGACGATGTGCTAGCGAGGACGCTGACCCTTAAAGAAGGTAGATTGTGAGATAAAGGTGTAAACCTCTCTCTAGCCAACCCCGTGCGCTCGGGTGATACCTCCATGGATCATTCAAATACATGGGAGTTCTTCGGTGAAGTTGCAGCAAAGATTAGGAAACACCAATTTTCTGCCATGAACAACACTACCATAGTTTAGTCATAGCACGCCGCCAATCCTCATGCTTTTGAAAACGGTGTGTGGAGAGCCCACTGATTTGTAAAGAAATGGATGGCTCCCTCTTCCTTTTGTCTCCCACTCCACGCAATTCACTTGTCTCATCTTTGGATTTCTTTTTGTTCTTTCTAATATGCATGCACATCACTCCCTGATTCACTCCAACGCACAATTTCTCTTAATTTCAAAGGATTGTTTAACGCTCCAAATCAATCTCCAGACCCACAAAAAATTCTCTGAAGCTATCAGATCAGAAGAGACTATAAAGACGCCATTATTTGCATTCAAACTGCAATTAACTCAACAGGAACCACCCAAAAGACGAAAAAGAAAAGGACCCATTACCAAAATGGCGATGCAAGGGAAGAAAAAAGAACCTGCACACCACTGTGGAATTACAACTAACTATCACAGACAACTTTCACCAACACAAGACCTCTGCAAATGCCTAAAACTTCATTGCAGGATCTTGGGACAGACTAGACACCATCAAAATTAAACCACAAATTACATTGAAATATTACTAATTAAACATTTCTGATTCGCCCAGCTGGTTCAGAGCTGCCCAATCAATTTCAACGGAAGGATACTTTTCCAAACAGAATGCTTCTCCTTCACCCCATTGCGAATCTGAGAAATCCAAGAAGCTAATACTCGACTCAGGGGAGGACCCGGTGGAGAAATCTTCACACAGCGAAGGAGATGACCATGAAGATGAAGATGAAGATGAAGATGAAGTCTCCGCTTCGATTTTTAATTCCGCTTCCTTAAAATTGTTAACCACTGAGTTTGATTCAGATGGAGGTGGAGAGCTCGGTGGCTTCTCTGTTTCCCCCTGTTTCAAGCTTTGACAAATTGCTTGAAGTTTCGCGTCCACAGAAGAGTGAAGAGGCTCGAAGTCCCCGAATTGATGTTTGAGATGTGGAAAATTGAGGCGAGCCAAGTCGCCACGGAGCTTGTAAGCAGCTTTGTCATAGGCTAAAGCCGCCTCCTCGGCCGTGTCGAAAGTGCCAAGCCAGAGTCTGGTTCGGTTCTTGGGGAGTCTGATTTCGGCGACCCATTTTCCCCAGTGGCGCTGCCGGATTCCCCTGTAGACTCTAGTGGGCTTAGTCGGAGAGCCGGTGTGCTTCATCGGAATGGATTTGGGGGCAAGGACGCTATGGTATTGGGACGAAACTCGAGACTGGAATGAAAAAGAAGAAGGGAAGGAAGACATAGTTTGTGAGGGTAGTTGGATTTGAGCTTGAATTTGTAGAACTTGTGAAGGGGTGGGATTGTTTAGCCCGATTGGACCCGATTGCTCAAGACCCATTTGTTCAATTCCCGAACACGCTTGAGGAAACAAGCGGATGCTCGACGGGGAGCAAAAATCAGGGTTCACATTAGGCTGATAAGAAACAGAAGAAGAAGAAGAGGTTGAAACAGCACTCTTCATAAAAGGTTGAAGTGCTTTCATTAACTCTTCGCAAAAAGGATCCGAAGAGTAAACCGGCGCTGAAATTCCAGTGCAAAAATCTAAAGCTGCTGCCATGTCTAATAAAGAAACTAGAAGACTTCCGGAAACCAGAACAAGAAAACAACGAACCTGAGAGACACAAAAAACCACCCTCAAGGCCGATCGAAACAAAACTGAAAGTATATAACAAGAAAAAAAGAGAAACCTGAATCACCCAGAACTTTCAAGAAGCAAACTTCAAGTCCAAAACATAAATCTTTAAAAGAAAAAAAAGAAACAGACGATGACAGAAAGGGGAACACAGAGAAGCGGGGAGAGCAGAGAAGGGGAGCAAAGGAAAAAGAAAAGACGAGAGCAATTAGGAAAACCCTGTATGGTATAGGCTCTCTAGTGTCAAGTTCGCCTTGCAAATAGCGAGGGGGTTTGTGTGTGTGTTTATATAGAGCCCCAAAGCAGAGCAAGGCAGGGCAGGGCAGGCTGTTTCACTCAGCAGATGGAGGGAGCCACCATTTTTTTTTTTTCCCTCTCCAACCCCAAATTTCTCGTCAACTTGAAGATAACGTGATTCGAGGCGCACTTCTCAATGAAATGCATCCACGTGTGAGCATCTAGGGACGTGGAACATAACGACAAAATGGCATTGCGGCGCGGAGACTTAGAATTAGAATTAGAATTGGGGGATGTATCAGAATTTGAGAGGGAGAGGTGCAGGGAAAGGAATTTGGGTTGATCACGCAATTCAATACAATACCCATTTAATTTGGTAGAGTCAAACACAGACACCAACGCGTGGGCCTTCCTCTCAATTGTCTGCGTAAAAACCAAGCCAATGCAATCGCCAAACGCATCACTAAAATGGTATGCATAACTCATGTTCTGCACTCGAGGATCAGTTCAAGAGTCAACTTCACTGTGGCCCTTCTACAAAAATGAACCGCGGTTAGTATTTAACCCATCATCACTGCATCCCAATCCCATCACTTACCTATATTGCCCTCTTTTTCAAAAAAATACCATTCCCCACAAATTCCACGGTTCCTTTCATAAAATAAACGCTATATATACACACAACTCATTGATATTGACTCTGTTTCATTATAACATGAACAATTTTTCAAATCCAACTGAGAAAGGAGAACTCAATTCTATCAACTAATTAATTAGGTTATCCATATAAAATAAAACAATTCTCAATATGGAATTAATAAGTAGATTAAAATAACCCATCGAAGTTATCAGAAAGAGAATCAACATTGTCAATTAAAATGAATAATATATAAACAAACAGTCATCACCAACTAATAATAATGCCAATAATATAAATGAACTAAAATATATTACTAAAATAATTAAAGAATTTTTAACAGGTAAAGAGATTCAAGATATTAAAAAAAAAATAACAAGACAATGATCGTGCTAAATAAGTCATGTAATTGGATAATATTAAAAATTTCCAAGTTGACTTTCAAAAAAATGTCAACTCATGTATCGCCCACTAAAGATGAATGTGGCGCACGATAATCAATATAAGAAGATGCAACGGCCGGCTTACACCCACAACCACATTTCCCTATGCATTTCCTCACCTAAAATAAATTACATAATTACATGAAGTAGAATTCTAGTGCATGGTGGATGTCTATATCCATGAATTGACATTATAATTGAAGCATGGATCCACACAAGCCTTAATGCAATGCCTAACTGGGGGTATTATTATAATCAAATTGATTCGACCTAAACTAGTTCTTGCAAAAGGCCTAAACTTGGTCCATTTAATCAATCAAACCAAGGTTTTGAAACACCCCTAATACAATATTATGCACACTCTCAATTTGCCTACGACAAGAGTAGAATCTCAAAAGAACTAGTTCAAACAAGTTACCTGTCAATATAGCACATGTATCAAATATCCCTATTTAATTCAAGGCAGCCACGAATTCTGTATGTAAAGTAAACAGTAGATGGAGTAACAAGTAATTCTTTCTAAAGAACTTGCCATGGCAAGTTACATGATTTGATAATATGATATTCTTTCTATTTTTAAGATGTCAACCCTAAATCATTTATCATATCACCTAATTCAGCAAGATCTGGTAAGCTACTAAACTAAACTACAAAAAATCGTTCAAGTAGCTAAAAATATACATGAAAGCCGAGAAGCAAAGATGAAGATAGGGTTATTCAGCAACAAAATTGGATTATTTTACATGCATTCCAAATTTTCTAATACAGCTACCCTATCCATAGCGAGAAGTTCAAAAGCACAAATATGGACAGCATTAGTGACTAACCACACGGCCCACAACCACCAGAATGTCAGGTAAAAAAAGAAATCAGCACCCTAGTGCTTCTCCATAGGCATGCCATTAAGCATCTCCAGATTCATCTTGCATTCCTCCCTCAGATCTTTTAGGGTAACAAAACTGGTTTGCTATATAGCAGAAAAGAAAGATTTACCACAGTTAGTCTTTTTCCAAGGTTCAAGTAAATGGAAATGGTGAAGTAAATATTCAAGAATCTAAAAGAGTATACTGAACCTATGCTAGTGAATCCCTCCATACTAACAATGCCAGAAAATTGTAATTGCTTTAATTAATTAAGCTCTTTTAGGCTTCCGACACAGTCCCTCTTCCTTCAATTGGTTATTTTAAGGAAAAAATAATAATTTCATTTTTTCATGGACAGGTTAATTGAAAAGATCACAGTTCAAATGTAAACGCACATTTCTAATGGGAACAAGTACAAAGAATTTACACTTACAAGTTGGCTGCCTTCTTGAGAAAACGTATCTTCCATATGACGGAATAGTGACATCCACTGACCCCAAAGATCAAATTCTAGCTTTGATTTGGAAGAATTTCCTTGATCATGATAAGTCTCTTTCTCTTTGCTGCATTTCTGAGCCAAGATGCTTGCATCTTTCTGGCTTTTCTTAAGTGCTAAAAGAATGAAAATATCATGATTAGCTTTAGGAGGGAATAACCCAAAAGGCATGGTATTATTACTATACAAGGAAGAACAAGTTTACCTGAAATCCGTCCCTTAATGTCCTGGTAATGAAGGTCTGACCAAATGTATGATGCTGATTACAAAAGCAGACTAATTTAGCCTTTTCTTGGCATGAATTTTCAAAAACCTCTAATTATGGACATAACAAATAAATTACATTCTACTTACCTTTCATGCAGAATGAACAAGAACATGTTTCAAACAAGTCGTCAATGTCTAAATTAGCACAACCATCATTCTTAAGTCCGGAGCACCTTTCCAGTGCCAGAGACTTGGGATCCCCTGACATAGGTAATCTCAACAACTCCGTGCAATCATGGTCGCTTGAGCCAATTTTACCAAATTCAATATCCTTTTTGCCATTCCTTGAAACATGATCAACTGCTTCTTCATTGTCAGCACTGTTTTGCATGATTCCAGGGCAATTTTTCTTGTCATCCTCAGGGTAAGTAGGGACTACAGAGATGGGGAAGCAAGGAGGAACTACAGAAATGGGTAAGCAAGGAGGAACTGCAGAAATGGGTAAGCAAGGAGGAACTGCAGAAATGGGCAAGCAAGGAACTTCCAGTGTTTCACCGTCAGTAATTCTTTCTTTATCATCTTGCACAGGATGTACTCCATCGTTCAACAAATCACACTGCACAATTTCCATAGGTACATCAGACAAAGCAGCTTCAACTTCGCTGGAAGCAGGACAGCATTCAGATTCCTGCTCCTTACTAAACCTAGAAAGAGCCATTGTATAACAGAATTTTCCACAAGAACGTTTACAGTTCTCCTTGACATATTTGGCAGCTTGTAAACGCACATGCTTCGGGAATTTGGGTTCTCCGTATTTCCCGTCCACATTTTTGCCGCAACCATCCCTAGATTTAACCACTGAATCACTTAAAATTGACGAGATTTTTCGCTTAAACGGACGATTGGTTAGGTTTCCAAGAACCGGACGATTGTGGTGTAACTCATCACCAATGTTATCTTCGCGCATTATCGCACACAGGCAGGTAGGACGCTAATCTTATCGACCAATCTATCTTCTAAAACTTTTGCAACAGAAACCCCAATCCCTCGAATGGAAAAAAATCTCAAGTCGCCCGATTCAAATCCTAATCGATGCAAAGTAAAAACACAGAAACCCGAAATTTGCAAGATTCTGGAAAAGAAAGTATCAAAGCCAACAAGTAAAGAGACGTAAACAAAAGAAATTAACAAAACCATAAGTAACCCTAGAAAAATCGACATTCACAAAATCATAGTAATGTAGGAATCATGGAGGCGTAGATTCAGATTCTAACCTTGCAAATGAGGAGAAGGCAGATGAGATTTGATTTAACCGAAGAGAGTCAAATAGCCCAAATTAGAAGAATCAAACAGCCGCTCTTAAGGAAGGAAGGAGAAGAAGCAGGGCCCGCGTTCCCGATTCAAAATATTGCCGCTTTCTCGGTGGCGCGCTTTCCTGGCATGCGTTTATACCCCTCCCGCTCCCTCCTAATTCCTAACGCCTTCCTCTTTCTAAATCAACTTCAATTTATCTTTACTATTTTTATTCCAGATAACTGCAAATAAACTTTATAATTTTTAAAATTTTATATCAATATATATATAACCAAACATCACAAGCAATATATATTACTCAAAATAATTTTTTTAGTTTATATTAATTCATTTCGTGCCAACTATGCTTCTATTAACAATATCATGTGTCTCATACTCATTTGTAACCGTCTAAGCACACCGTTAATAGATATTATTCGCTTTAGCCCATTACAGAACCAATATTACCTGCCCGGATTGAACTGTAAACTAAGACGAAAGATTAATCTTTACCTTTATAAATCATAACGATCAAGACGAAAGATGAAAGAAAAGGTGAGACTGCACTGTTAGAAGGCAGAGACCATTCCTTGCAGCGCGAGAGTCTACATTCACCTGTCGGTTTCACCCATTGCCTGAACTCGGATATGAAATCCTTTTCTTTCCTATTTCTTTTCTTTCACTCTTTCCAAGCAAGGTAAGGGGGCTGAATTTCCTCTCCTGTAAAGTTAGGGAATATTGTAGAGTGTTCCGGTCAGGTCATATCGGTGAAGGAGCGAAGCTACTCGACGAGAAGAGGAGAGGAGCGAAGCCGCTAAGACCTGAGACCCGGAGGGCGAAGAGGCGAAGAAGCGAGACTGGAAAGGAGAGGGGCGAAGAAGCTCGATGAGAAAAGAAAAGGGGCGTTTGGCTTATTCGAAAAAAGTCTTGTTCGTTGGAAGATCTATCTCGTGTCTGGTACTGCACGGTTCCACTCTGCAAGAACTCCGAATCATTCTCCCATGGATCTTTATGGAGTTTCCGGGCTTTGAGTCCAAGAAGTTGGTAAAGGATTCAGTCTGATTGTCAGCCTTTCCAGCAGGAAGATTTGCCAAGGCAATGAACATTCACTCTTTTCATCGTATCATTCTGACGTCTAATTTCTGGACGGAACCTGACTTCTCTTATCTTACACCCCTTTCCTCTGCCTTCACTGTCAAAGAGAAAGAACTACTCTAGTCAGAGGCATTCTCCTTTTCTTTAGGTAAACGGGATGATTCTCCTTCGCTGTCTGTAAACAAACTAAGACTGAACCTTAACTAACCCTGAACCTGTGTGCCGCCCCGATATTATTCCCCTCGCTTATTTCGTAAAGCTAGAAGAAGAATCAACCTTTCTTTACAGTAGAGGAAAGACTAAAGATTCATGATAGTTTACGATCTTTGAATAAATAAAGGAGTTAGCAGCTGCTTTAGCTTTTCAAGACTCAACGTAAAGAAGACGAGACAGTCCTTGGATGATCTTGCCGGTCTTAGTACAATGGATTCCATAGGCCTTTCCCGTTCTCTTCCGAAAGAAGCATTGATTACCTGACCTTCGCTATTGAACCGGAAGGAAAGAGAAGCTCCGAAACTCAAGCACTTGTCCCCTCTTGAACTGCTTGCTTCGCTCTGTTTGGTCACTCGAAACGATTTTGAGGCAGTCAGTCTCCATCTTTCTTCGGAATAAGAAGCTAAGTCCATATTACATCAATCGGAAAATAAATAGGCATATTAGCAAGGGACAGGAGAGAGCTAGAAGCGACTCGTTCGTATTGGGTGAAAATATAGAAGAAGGGAGTCTGTGCGCCAATATCCGCCATAAAAGGGCCAAGCCATAACAGATGAGAAGCTATACGACTCAATTCCAACATATTGTGAGACTGTAAAGTAAGAAGGTAGAGGAATTAGACTAAATAGTCCGAAAAATCTTTTAAAGATATTAAAAAAAAGAAATGTACGATTAATTCGTAAATCGCATCATTTTCTAAAATTTTTCGTTGAAAACATATACATAGCTATCTTTCAACGTATTATGAATATCCCGAGGATTAATGGTCAACTTTTTATTGATTCAAAATCACGATCTGGTGACGCAGGGTCTTCCGTCTTCCAAAAGTGTAACAAGTGTTAGAGTTCGATTGATTCAATATCGATGAGCCTAGAAGAGTTGAGGGTTGGAACGAGCGTATAAGAAGAATGATTGGAATTCTTCAAGGCATAATGTTGAGAATGCCCGTTGAATTGGAAGGAATAAGTTCGGCAACGAGCTTTCTGCTGGCCGACCACTACATAAGCTACCTCGAGCTTTCTCCGCCAGCTTCCTTTCATTCGCTTCGCGGGAGTCGCACAGCACATAGCTGGAAGTCAGAGGGCCCATACTACCTACTTCTTACAGGCAGGAGAGAGTAAAAGAGGAAAAGGAAAGAAGGCACAACGTCTTTCAAAGTAGCTAACTCCTGAATTTCTTCTTTAACTTCCAACTCGTTCACGTTCAATCAGGGCGTTCGGTCATATTCAAGAAATAGGTTCAGGAGAGAGGCAATGGAATTCTGAGACCAAAGGGAGAGGTTCAGGAAAGAATTCCATTGCCTTCGCCTCTCGGTCTCACTCGCTCCTTCCCCGGGCGGGAAGGAGAAAGAGACTGAAAGATAAAAGAGTGGGACCTTAGCGTATGATCTGGGCTGTTTCCCTCTCGACTTTGGATCTTAGCACCCCAAAAGTCTGTCTGTACAAATGATCTAGGCCTGTATTCGGAGTTTCCCTGGGTTGGTAAGGCTCTCATTCTCGTCAGGTGAAGGAAGGTTCAGTCAAAGGTTTGAGGATCCGTTACCTACCGTTTAGGTGGCACTAGCGAGATCCAGCTAAGGTAAGGAACTTCGTCTCGCGGTTGCTCCACTACGCCGCGGTCTCATGAACTGAGACCAACGGAAGCTGCCAGACTGGAAAGGTGCCCATCTTCAAGAATGCCCGAATGAAAGACCCAAGCCTACATGAACCATCATCAAAGATCGTATTGATTCTTATCAAATAAAGACAGGATTAACTGAGGCTATTCAAACAGGCACAGGTAAATTAAACGGTATTCCCATAGCAATTGGGATTATGGATTTTAAGTTTATGGGGGGTAGTATGGGATCTGTAGTAGGCGAGAAAATCACCCGTTTGATCGAGTATGCTACAAATCAATTTTTACCTCTTATTTTAGTGTGTGCTTCTGGAGGAGCACGCATGCAAGAAGGAAGTGTGAGCTTGATGCAAATGGCAAAAATATCTTCCGCTTTATATGATTATCAATCAAATAAAAAATTATTCTATGTAGCAATCCTTACATCTCCTACTACTGGTGGGGTGACAGCTAGTTTTGGTATGTTGGGGGATATCATTATTGCCGAACTCAGGTCTGGGAAGAATGAAATGACGTCGAATGAAAGATGATCCATTATCTAGCTCAGACTGTTGGTTTTTCTTGAATCATCGTCGTTCTAGGATGTAAGGCTTTCATTGATTCATAGGGTCTTAAGAATTCCTATCAATAATAAAGAAAACAAGAGTCAAGTCGCATTACACACAAATCAAAGAAAAAAAGAGGTAAATAGAAGGAAGATTCAAGAGTCCCTTGGGAGGAGTTACATCAGGTTCATCAGTTCAAACAAGAAAAGAAAAGAAGGTAACGTAAGTAAGATAGAGAATGAATCAATAAGCTAACGTAACATAGGGTCCGGGTCAGGCAGGGAGAGGAAAAGAGGGAAATCAGCTTTCAGCAGTTATCCGCTCCGCACTTGGTGTAATAGGTATGATTTTTTGTGTATTATAGAACTTCTCTGTCTTTTTTGTGTAATGGAGAAAAGAAGCTTGACGAACCTTAATGGCTTTTTTAGGTCCAATTCCATCAATTTTTGTTGAGGCAATTCTGACTTGTTTATCGGCAACTGATCTAGCTCCTGAAATATATGGCATTCTTTCTCATTCTCCTTTTACTAGTCTTCTAGGCTGGAATAATAAATGAGTTGTCTCCTCTTTGATTGATGATCTTTTCTATAGGTCGAACTAGTGTGAGCGGTCTAAACTTCGACCCTGATTTCTTCACATTATGTTCTCGTACCCAAGCCCTAAAAAACAGAGAAAGAGTCTTGGTGAACACTGATCTTACTAAAGAAGTGAGAAAGTACTGATGGGTCGCGGTCTCAAAATGGAAGTTTTCGCCATCAGTTTCACGGTTCTAAAACGTGTCTACTATGGAGAAGATCTAGCCCTACTCCAACTAGTGCCTTGCACTGTCCCTAGCCCTATTCCAACCAGTGCCTCGTGTCACAATCGCACTTTTGATGGCAACGGACTTGCGATTGTGTGGCACTCACTTTCCAACGACGAATAAGCTAAGTCAATTCGTTCTTGCGTTGCCTACGGCTAAGTGTCGTATGCTCGAGCCTCTGGCCTCGGTTTTAAGAGAAGGTTTTAGAAAACGAGGGCAGAGAGAGATTTTTGAAAGAGAGATTTTTTAAAGAGACGTTATATAAGCAAGGAAGAGAGAAATAACAACGGCTCACAGTATATAATCTTGGGTAGGGAGAAGTTAACAACTAGTCGTATCCCCCTATAATACATTCTACATTCTTAAGCATTTCATGTCTGACAGACCTAAACATGATATTTTTGAAACGTCATCCTTCCTAGAAATAAAAAAGTAAAACACTAAAATATGAAAAGACATAAAGGGTAATATGAAAAGACATAAAGGGTTGGGCAACATGCCTTGGACGAGCATGATCGTGACACCTCGCACTGTCCCAGCTTCGATACCACTTGTAACAGCCCAAGCCCACCGTTTGCAAAGATTATTAGCTTTAGCCCATTATGTATCACCATCAGCCTCATAATTTTAAAACACAAGGAGAGATTTCCACACCATAGGGAATGTTTCGTTCTTCCCTCCAACTGATGCGGAATCTCATAATCCACCCTCCAACCGATATGGGATCACACAATCCACCCCTTGGGGGCCAACATTGCACATTGCATCCACCCTCTAACCAGGGTGCCAGCATCCTGACGGGCACATTGCATCCACCCTCCAATCAATATGAGATCTCACAATCCATCCACCTCTCGAGGGGCCAGCATCCTGACTACCACATTGTCCGATGTCTACCTCTGATATCATTTGTAAAAGCCCAAGCTCACCACTACGCTTACGTATTGCCATATCAGCCTCACAGTTCTATTAACAATATGACACCTACAACGGTCTCAAATTTAAACAATGGATAATTTTATTTTTGTACATATTTCGTAACATCGTAACACTCTTATCGAACAAATCATACCACTAAAAACAGATAGCTAAAAGTGATATTTTATTTGCATTTGAAGTTGGAGATTAGGATTGCATTTCATAAGCGTTGGTCAAAATGAAAGAATGAAAGAATGAATTGAATAGGTTGGTTAGGTTTTGATCTAAAATGAAAAGGGGAAGAAAAACATAGAAGAAATATACAAAAGCTTTAGAATTCATAGAAGCTATGCCTTTTGGGTATCACACACTCCTCAAATTGCAGCAGCCTTGGCGCCGCACATGAGTACCCTTTCCTGAACTTACTGCTTCTGTTCCTCAACTCCACCGCCACCCTAAACACTCCACATACTGGCCTGTGATCCGAAAATCTCAACTCCCCTCGAATGTAACACACCTGCTCCATCCCATTCCCTCGCCACAGTATTCTGTCGCACCTGAAAAACAAAACAACACTCAACTCAAATTATGCATATGTGATATGAATGCCGCACACCCTCTGATACCAACCATGCCGGCGTCCGCCGCTTCCTCTTCGATTTCACGCTCTCCCCGGCGTACGAATCTGAGTTCTGGGTGTACTTGTATGTCGGTGCAAAATGGATCCGCCCCTCACTGAACCCACTGAAAACTCTTCCCGCTTCTCTCTCAACGTTCAACTGCATCGCAAGAGCTTATGCTTAAAGTGGATAATATCACAACATTGCGGATAATCGTAACCGTTCTCAGTTACCTGATCCCGTTCTAGGAGTTTGTCCCAATCACTATCCTCTACTAAAATCCTGGTTTCCTCGTAGCTCAATGACAACCGGTAGTTCAAGTCTCCCAGCCAGATTATCCGGCTGTATATAGATTTGATGAGCAGAGGATTGAAAAAAAAAAACATAAAAACAGACACAAAATCAGACAAAATGGATTAGATTTTGATGTGAAGTAATTACTCATGATCCATTATTTTCTCAGGGGCTCGTTTATTGGGCTTCTTACAGATCTTGTTGAACTGCGTGCTTTTGAGTATCTCAGCTGCATCGGCGTTTCTTCTCAGTTCATCCCCTTCCTTCTCTCCCGATGCCAAATGACTGCAAACGAAGCAAAAGCTTGTCTCATGCACTGACATGCTAATCGATATGCATCCCTGAAAAGTGCATCAAATTCTAAGGGTTCGTCTAAAAAAACAGAGCAGGAACTACAAAAAGCAGTGATCTTTTGAGTCAATGATTTGTGTAACCTTGTTTCCGAGGCGACCCATTATGCCTCTTCCAACGGTGGAGACTCTAAGATGACCAATATGAGGGATGAGCTCCTGTCGAGCCCAAACCGACAAGAACAAACCCACCATTTGCTTGCTGGATATGAGCTTGTAGCGCATATCATCATCCCCTGTTTTTGCTGAAGCAAGTTCTGAAATTGAAATGAATCGATCCATCATTAAGCTTCCATGTTCATTATGAAGCTCCGGTGAGATCATGGAGTCAAAATCAGCTGTCGGGTCGTCGTTGAGCTTCCTTAATCTCCTCTCTTTCGATCCCAATTCAATTGGGCAGTTGCAGGCCTTCAGCAGCCGACCATCAATCGGCCTCAGGTTCCTGCTCAGCATCTTTAACGATGGCTTTTGGAAGAAAGGCAGAGACTTTGAATCCTTTGAAGCTTTTGAGCCATGAGATGAATTATCAGAGCCACCATTAATGGAGTCATTGTTCTTGGTTTTGTTTATGGTTTGGCTTATTAGACCAAGCCACTTCGCTGCAGGTTCATTGTCTTCTATAACAAGTACGTTTCCGGCATTCAGAGGAACAATTTCCTGAAACCTAAGATTTCCCACATCACCAAAAGTGTGTTAATTTAACAAAACAATGACAGCAACAATGGAACATCATTCGAATGTTACGAACCCAATTACATAAATGTCTGTCGTGTCTTCCACTTGTAAGAACTCTTCAAGGTTGATGCTATTGTTCGGAGTTTTCCCACCAACATTCCACGTCGCTACAAAAATCCTACACCCCAAACAGAGTTCTAACGATATTTCGACAATCATAAGATCAACTCAACAAAAATTCCCGTGGCACATACCGAAAATTCTTGGTTTCATTTGGTAGAGTCACAGATTGATCAAAGTTTGAAAGATTCAAGCCTTGGATTTCTGAACTTGCCTTTCTTTCTGATCAAATAATCATTGTTCTTAGATAATCGATCAATCTCTACTCTCAGCTCATACGTGTTGTATCAAAAGTTGAAGCATGATCGATCGTACTCACACACTTACTCCCACAAACAATTGGGTGCGTGAGTGTGTGAGTGCGATCGATCTTGCTTTTGGTTCTGTTATAACAATTGGGTATCAAAGCATTTTTTGTTGTGCCATTCCGCTACAACAATTGGATATCATAGGGGCGGGTACGTACCTGAGAAGCTCTTTTTTATGGTGGGGGATGACTCCAAGAAAGCTTTTCTTCTGATTGCAATTCCCTTCCCTTTACAACGTTGTAAATTATGAGCAGAGAGTTTCAGAGGAACAGAGGAGGAAATTAGAAGAAGAAAAGGGGATACCAATATCAACAGCGCCGTCGCCGTACTCTAATTGAAACAAATCATCGTCTGTGTTTAACTTGTCGGTTCTCTTTGAGCTGAAAATCTTTGGGATAATGGACTAACGTACGACCCATAATATGCATGAAACATATCCAATCAAACATATGAAAAGGAGAAGTGGTCGGAGGAGGAATTAAAGAATAATGATAAATACCCTTTTTTTCTTATCGTTCTTGACGGAGTTGTCCGGGGAGGGGGCGGAGGATAGGGTGTCGAGCGTGGCGGTGGCAGTGGGGGCGGCGGCGGCGTTATTGGGTTTTCCCATATCGACCAAGGAACTAGTGGCATAGTCCGACATTCATTCGTTGAACCCGAGATTCCAATGCATTCAAATCGCGAACGGAGTCGCGAAAGAAGGCACCAGAAATATGATGGCCAAACTGACCGGAAAAACCCGCCGGAAAATATGAACAAATCTGGTCCGATGCAAGAGTTTCGAGGTGGATTCTTTTATCTGGGGTTGTGTTCTTTTCTTGAATTTTATTTTATTTTCTGATTTGGACAAAAACAAAAAAAGAAAAAAGGAGAATAATTTTGGAGGCTGATTGTTTTTGGGGTGTTTGGTTTCGGAGTCCTTGTGGATTGAGATATTGGCGGCGAAGCTTTCGGAGATTACTAGGATTGAAGGGATGAAAACGGTTGGGATTCAGAGTTCATAGCTCAACTCCTTTTATCATCCGCTAATTTCAACTCCCAGACATTACACTACAACTGAGATACAGACAAAAAATAAAAAAAATAAAAAAATCCAATTTTTTTTTTTTAATTTCTTTTAAAAAACACATATTTTGAAAATTATCCCGTTCATCTCTTGAACATATCCATAAACTATTCCAAAGTTTCAATAATACCCTTCAACTTTATAAAATGTCTAAAATACTCGCACTTTTAGGACTCAAGAATATTTTTAAAACAAAATAGTTGTGGGTTCCGTCCAAAATTAAGGTAATTATATTTTTAGATTCAATAAGTTTGAAATAAATTATAAAATTTAGAAATATTTTTATTAGTTTAGCCTAAAATTAAATTCTCATTTTTTTTTTTAATTTGAATCGACATGCAAATATAACTATAATTTCATAAATATCAAAATGCATGTGATATAAAATTAAATTATATTGATTAGTATAACACATCATTATAAGACAATTTCGCATAAAAATCTTATAAAACAAACATAATTATTTGAATAATTTCGGCATTATTCCTCCCAAACAAACACGATTATCTAAAATGTCAGGATATATATTTTCAAGTATCACACTAGAAGATTCCATTACATCCTTAAAAAGATAAACAAGCCATTAAAAAACAAAGGGGAAAATAACTTTAATGCGACACTCGATAAGAATAAGATATTTAAATCTTTTCATCATTAATAAATGATAGAAAAGTTCTTAAGAGTATTAATAAAAAAATTAAATGTCATAACGGTTGAATTATACTCGTGTTGGTTGATAATAATACTTAGATTATATTAGGATGAAACATAAATGAAAAATTAAAATCATCTTCCATACTAAAAGATGGAAACTTGTATCTATGGCTTTTGTGGAATGCATCTCCTTGTCTTTCCAGGAAGTGGGTATGCCCGCTGCAGATAACCTTCAACAATAACACTGAAGAACACATTGATCACTATCCCATAGAAACATATACAAGCAACAAACAATCCGTAATTAGTATAAGCTATCTGGGTTTAGAACAACAAGAAGCACGAGCCGGTAAGTCGATCGGTTTCCTAGTTCATTTGCAACATCAAAAAAGCAGTAACCTTGTTTTCAATCATACTCTTGAGTGGTAATAATCTAACAAGTCGAAATATTCTTACCTGAATTTCAGGGATTCAGCATGACATTTCGTCCAACTTTTGCCTGTAAAGTGCTAAATTCTGCATAAGATATAGGAAGTGGGCAGATGCTAATCAATCAAGTGATTGCGTAGAGAAAGATAGACAGAACATGTAGCAGTCCTCTGTTTATTCCTTTTAAGCTTTAACTGTTTGGAGTTGACATCTAAGATCAAGATGGTTAAACACAAACTTTTAGATTAGCAAAGAACTCATTTGGATAATACGGTGTTCGCTTGTGGCAACATTCCAGAGTTTGTGCACAGAAACGATGGCCTAAGTTCAGATAAGCACTTGTTTTGAGATCCCATATGGGTTGGAGAGGGGATAAGGGTGTAGAAACCTTTTCCTACCAAACGCATTTTAAAAACCTTGAGGGAAATCTTGAAAGGGAAAGCCCAAAGACGACAATATTTGCTAGCGATGGGTTTGAGTCATTACAAATGGTATCAGAGCTAGACACCAAGCGGTGTATCAGCGAGGACGCTGGGCCCCAAGGGGAGTGGATTGTGAGAACCCACATCGGTTGAAGAGGGGATAAGGGTGTGAAAACCTCTCCCTACCAAACACGTTTTAAAAACCTTGAGGAAAAGTCATCGCAGATTAATGGTCAAATTATGTTCTAATCTATGCACTCGTCGCCAAACGTCTATGGTCACTCAAGAACCAATATCAAAGAACAGTTTATCAAAGACCCTAATTATTCTTTGGATATTTTTCCTCTCAGTAGACCACAGCAGCAACTATTATGTTCTTTCCTCCATTTTCATCACAATCGATGAGCAACAAAGCAATCAAGGAAAATGACTCTTGAATTTCTACAAGCAAATATCAGGATACCAGTAATTATAAACATAAGATGATGGAGAGGTAGAATATTCTTGCCCTAGTTAGTGCATATACGCCAGCTTCCGAAGAACCGACAGGACTCCCTCGCTTCATAAACGTTCCCTCCTTGTATATGTAAAGTAATGGTACCCCAGTTGATACTTCCAACCCAATTACCTGTCTCCTAGCAAATATTCATTCATTAATAAGCTATACTAGAAGGTAGCAACATGAACACTGAAGAAAAACATGTAGGATATGGTCTCTCTACCTGGCGAGAAGTTAATTTTTCTAGGTACATGATAATAGACCTTAGCGTATTAGCATGGGCTGCAACCATAACATGTTTCCCAGATTGCAGATGTGGTTCAATCTACAATTCCTTCTTGCCCTGTGAGAATCTTACCGTTTCAAATAATCAAAACAAGAATCCAAGAGTGCTTACATGCTCTTTAAAATATCCAACTGCTCTTTGTGAGCACATCTGCAAGCTCTCACCCTCGGGCGGAGGAATTTCGTAACTCCGGCGCCATTCATGCACTTGCTCTTCACCATATCTTTTGGCAATCTCCTGTTTATTCAGTCCCTGTAGCTCACCATACCTGTATTATAGTTTTGTGCATCAAAACAATTAGTATAGTCTTCAGATAGAAGGAAAATATAGATTCCCATGAAAAGAGAAAGTACATTCTTTCATTCAATTGCCAAGCTCTAATAACCGGAAATGATTGCTTTCTAGCCTCATCACTGTAAATTTGGCTCCATGCCTCTGCCTGTTCATTACAATTATGGATAATGATGGGCACCTGAAAGCATAAAATGGTCTAAATTAGAAACATCCATTTTCTGCTATGGAATGTTTAAAAAACAACAATCAAACTTCAATCAAAATAACATCCATTTTCCTCTAAATATTAGCTTGAACTCTGTATTCTAAACAACAAAATCTTCTCATCCAATGATAAGAATTCCTTAATGGGAATGAAAGGAATTTGCAGATGCATCCTCATATTACAAACTTACAACCATCTTGAGCAACTAGTATGCAGTTCTGAATTCATCAAACTCAGGACTAGAAGCTAATCAAAGGCTATCCACTTTTTATGATGCAGGAACAAAAAACACCATGCATGATATACACCTTTTTGCAGCGATGTTGAATCAAAGCAAGCACCGCTGTCATTTGTGAGCGAATTAACGCAGACGTGTAAACGTAGTCGATCGGTAGGTTGCTGATCCTCTTACCAGCTTCAATTGCTTCCTCTACACCTCTTCTTGTTAAAGGTACATCAACAGAGCCAGTAAATAAATTCTTCTCATTCCACATTGACTCACCATGTCGAATTAATATCAGAGCTGTTTCAACTTTAAAGAGGAAAGTTCATGGACATTACAAAGAAATTCAATCTCCTGGGAACCAATAAAAGATTAGAAGCCATTATTCCTAATAGGTAATCAGACTTACTTGATGGCCTCATAGAATCATCACTATTCCAATCCGAAACAGGTGTAATGTGGTTCATAATTGAAACTTGCGGGGTCGCACAAACATCTGAAAGCCTGAAATTTCTCATACTACAAATCCCTCTTCTAAACAGCCGTACATCAGAATCAAAACCCTTCCGGATAACCGGTAGAGAAATCAAAGAGACATTATGAGGATTTGAATCACAGGCATGATTATAAACTTGCACTGCTCCATTGAACTCGAGAAATCCTGAAGAAATCATGCTGATAACCCAGAACATACCAATAACCAAATATTAGATTTAAGCACGAGAGAAATATTCTAGTTCGCGAACAGCCAACAGATTTCAATTGGGAAATATAGTGTCACTCCACAAGCAGATGAAAAACGTTTGAAATCGATAGTACACAAAGAATACGCACAACAATATAGTAAACACCCAAATGTGGGAAAAGAATCAAGAAGAACGAAGAGATTGTAGCCATTTTGTATACGAAAGAATGAGTGACTGATCAAACTCACGCCGGTGATCCGATTTACTCGAAGCAGAGAAGCAAAAGAGATGGTAAATTATTGATCCCAAATGCGATGGCCACGATGTTTTGCAGATTTGGAGAACGTTGAATGCCAAAATTTTACAAACTTTGAGGGAACCGGGAAAACATTGAATTTGCTTAATGGGAAAAAGAACACTGAATATTGGGTGAAACCCTTAAACTAGGCACGAACTCCAAATTAATAAAAATACATAAACTAAAAAAAAATAAAAAAAAATTAAATACTTTTCAACATTTTTAAAATTTTCAAAAATATATTCATTTAAAAAATAAAATTTTATACTTCGTCTTATAATTTATCTCTATTTTTTTTAAAATAAAAATTTAAGAATATTAATATTACTTTTTCGTGAATATTTTTTTAAGGTGATACTAATAGTTCTGTTTATCAGCTAATTTAAGAATGATCATGGGTTTATAAACAAAGAACCCTCTCTCCATTGGGACGATGTCTTATGGGGGAGCCCAAAGTAAAGCCATGAGAGCTCATGCTCAAAGTGTTATGGTATTAGAGTCATGCTCAAACTCTCATACTATTGTGTGAGTCGTGTTCGTCTAACATGGTATCAGAGTCATGCTAATAGATTGGTAAATCCTCAAATGTCGAACAAAGGAGTCAAACCTCGATTAAGGGGAGACAATTAAACCTCGATGATTGACTTTTTTACTATTGATTACGAGTAATTAAACAGTTTATATATATAAACAGTATCAACACGATTGTCAAATATTGCCATCGATCTGTATCGATTAGAATACTGTTGTGTGATTGAGGTCTATCAACGATAGTATTAGTATCAATAATTATTTTTTAATATCTGAAAAGATAAGTATTAATATTGAGACATTTTTAAAACTAAAGTAATTGCAACTTTTGGTGGTGGGATTAAAATAATAAGTTAGTGATTAGTGATATCATTAGTGCTTGTGACGCAAACCATGTGAAAAATCTATGCTCTTTATATAAACTTTATAATATAAAGTTTGTAACAAAAAGGCAATCCCATTTTCAGCCAAATCAAGAAATGCCACGTGGAATATCTTTGAATTTTTTTAAAATTAACATGACGTGTCTCGTGGGGCCCGAATTAAAATTATTAAAAAAGAAAGAAAAACCAGCAGAGGTAGATTCGTCTGTTTATGTCATTCATGCTGTCCTGTCTTTTCCAGTTTCCTTTTTTTATTAATTAATATTAACGACTGCTCTTACTTTATTTTTCAAAAATAACTTTCCCTTCGAATTATTCTCTCAGGTCCAAACGACGCCGTTTCTGGTAACATGCACTTGAACTCACACGTCCTCTTATCCTACCGTATATGGGAATTAGATGATGCGTCATCGTTTTAATTGTCGTTTCAAATCAAAACAACACGTATTGGTCCTGGTTGAAATTACATATTTGCCCAATTTTTATTTTTTTTAAAATAAAATTCAGATAAATAATTATAACTATTTCATGCGTTGTGTGAGAAGGGTATATTTGGTAGAAGGAAAAAGAATGGCCGAAAAGAGGGCGAATGAAGAGATGTGGATGTGGCATTGCTGTCCCATTGTCTCTCCAGCATTAGTAAGTGGGAAAATGACGTTTTTGTCCTTGCCTTTTTTTTTATTTTTCCATTCAGCTCCCTCGTTATGATGTTTCCCTCTCATTGCCTAATCCTTCTTCCACTACTCATTATTTCTTTTATTAATTTATATATATATATATATTAAAAAAATATTTAATAAGGGATATTTATTTGTGTTACCATTTATAGCCTTAATATAAATAAATCAAGATTTTATAAATAAATATGTTTAATTACAACTATTAATCAATTAATCATGTTAAATAATTTAATAACATTTTTACTTCACAGTTATTGGAGAAAAAGCGTGACGTGGGGTCGTTGATACGTGGTGCATCCAATCAACGGTCCAGATTCTCCCTCTCTCTTTCCTAACAAACTTCCATATATTTGGCGTTCTGTGATCTGAGAGTCCACCCACCCCTCACTCTCCATCTCCCTCTCATTTCTGTAAAGATGCTGCTGGGGAAGCGGTCTCGTGTTCCGATCAAGAGAACCGCCAGCATGACCGGAATCAGGGGGGGTCTCGCCGACGAAGAGTTGGAAGAAACGTCGGATCAGGGCGCCCACGCGCCGCCTCCCGCCGTGGGGGTTCCTCACAATACGACAATGCTCAATTACTCTGTTTTGGTTTCTCCTAGAAATTTAGGAGTTCAGTTGGGCTCTAATGATCACTTTCTTCACACGTGCGGTCTCTGCAAACGTACCATCGCTCCCGGCCGTGACATCTATATGTACAGGTACTACTCCATTTCTTTTTTTTTCTTTTTTTTTTTAATATATTAAAAAAATTGTTATATGTTTGTGCAGAGGGGACACGGCTTTTTGCAGTTCGGAGTGCAGAGAGAAACAAATAAAAGACGATGAGAAAAAAGAGTACGGAGGGAAGAGGAAAGATATGCGGCAAGCGGCGGCGGCGGCGGCGGCCGCGGGGGGAAGAGGGTCGAGGTCTAAGAAGGAACCAGATAGTAGGAGTTGAGAACTCCAGCACCGGCAGCGATCCCGACACCGCGTCCGCCGACGCATGTGTAGTTGGATGCTGTCGGGGTGTTGGATTTGGAAGTTAGTAGATGATGAGGGGTGATATGGTAAATTTGGGTGATTTGTATAAACGGAATTATTTAGAAGATCCAAAAAATGAAATTAAAAAATGCTGTGGATGGAATTACTGTCTGAGGTAGACTTTTACATTAGGGGTATTATTGTAATTTCAAGATTTGGAATGAGTGAATGAGTCTAATTACTGGACCTTAAAAAATAAAATTATTATTTTTTATTGGTATCAGTAAATATTCGGGGAATAAATTAAAATTGGGATAATGAGTGAAAATAATATTGATGGTATTGTTTCAAAAAATAAATAAATAATGTTGATAATATAAAAATATATCATAAATAGATAGTGCTTGAGAGTAAAAATAAGCCCAAATTGGCCATGGGCCCATGCTATAAAATAGAAGCAGACACTTTAAAAAGTAGTATAAAACAACAATTTGGCGTGGGAAGGCCGCCCCGACTTCAGTAGAACAGCGTAACGAGTTTACGGGTGTCGCAGTCTCAAAATGGAAGTTTTTTTCGCCTGAAAGCTTCTTGTGTCGGGCTGACGAATATGTGGGGGCGGATGCCTCCTAAAGGGTTAACAGAAGTGTGTTGCAGTCACGAAGTATGGAAAGTGACAAACATTGGGCGTTTGGTTTCGAGTCAGTGTAGTAGCGATCGAGAATGTTTGAGTAAGATGTTAAAGGGCTGTTTTCCCTGAGCTCTGCAGACTACATTCTTTACCTTTGCTGTCATCTGTTTCGAATCAAAAGATTTTCATCAGTCGTTTGTGATAAGAAGCTTCACCATGTATGTATGAAGAATCATTCACATTATAAAGAAACCTTTGCAATTCCCAATCTTTCCCTTGTTGCATAAGGAACTGATCTCAGTTGATATCCTGGCGACGAGGGAGGAGATTTTCGACTACCTTCTTCTCTGCAATGCAGCTTCCCATTGGCTCTGTTTCGGGTTGTTATGGTGGATGAAGTCTTCCACTTCCCCTGCAATATGCTTGGGAGGGTCGATTCCTGGTGGAGAAATTACAAGAATCAGACAAGACTAACAAGGAAGAATTGTGTTTAGATAACTTGGGTGTGCAACGAGAGGCATAAGCGGTCGAAAGTTTTACGAGCATTACCAGAAATAGTACCGTCGCACAATGCTTGAGAACCTCCAAGTTCATACGAACATCATCAAGGCTCCTGCACAAAGCACTTTTGTGAACCACGGTGATATAACACACACATAGATGGGAGGGATTTAATCTGTTATATACCTGTGCTTTTGCTGCCCCAGCTGAAAGTAAGAAGCCAATGATGCCATCTAAACATGAAACAGTTCAAAATATGAGAACTATTCGGAATGTTATGATTCTACAGGCTTTTGAAATCAAGGATCTGAAGTTGTTATCTTACCTTCATGTTTCCAGCTCTCTTGCCGAACTTCTGAGTTAAGACTCCCAAAGAATCAACCATCCCAACTGGCATAGGAGCAGGCCTGCCGATCTCCGCAAACGCCTCCCTAATACGAACACAGTCGAATCTTTGAATGTTATGACCTGCCCATATCCTTCCATTCAAGATGCTGAATATCTTGTCTGCAACTTCCTCAAACAACGGCGCAGTCGCAACAATTTCTCTTGTTATCCCGTCACGTCGGCTGGACCTTGCCGCAACAGCTGATAAATCTGTTGGCCTGATGAGGGTGGTAAAGCTATCAAGCTCCACAAGTTTCAGGGGGCAGACAACAATAGCACCAAATTCCAATACTCGAAACCGCTGCCCAACTCTGTTCGGCACTGTTGTTTCCAAGTCAAAGAAGACGATCTCTGCACCTTCCTTGAATGAACTTGAAGCCTCCATTGGTATTGTAGCAGATAGTTCCAAGCTCAAGTTTGTTTGTTTCCTTAATCCTCAATGGCATGGGAATGGGATGGTTATAAATGGGTGAAGACCAAATGGAGAATTCTTGCTGTTGAGGGTTTGGTTGGCTTGAAGTTGAAGTCAAGAGCTTGGTCGTTGGATGAAGAAGTCCTTAGCTTCTGGAGGCTGTCCTTGGCAAAACCAACTCCAATTGACAGGGAAATTGATCATAAAAGAAACGTTAAGAATGACTTTTGTTGTCTCTTTCCAATTGCTTTTTCCCATAGAGAAACGTTTTGGAATATCGATGGAACCTTTGAGGCCAGGTTTTCTTACCGTTTAGGAATGATTCTGCCCCTCTTGTTTTGCCTTTCATATTTTATAGCTCTCAATTCATCAACCAACAGATAAAATATAAGTTCACGTATTAACTACTAAGAATATATGCTATAAATTTAGAAAATTGAATTAATAACAACAAATAATTACTTAAATATGCGGTCCTAAGAACATTAGAAATGCTGACAAATTCAATCCCTTGAGGCCTGGACAACAAGAACCATCAACCAAATTGGTTGAAGTTCTTCGTTTATTCAATCATAACAGTTAACAAATCAATATACCATTCTAAAAGGCAACTCATAGGGTACAACATACATGACACAGTAGAATAGGAAGCATACGAATGATGAACTGTATAATGTATAAGTTTCAGGTAACACCCAAAAAAGAGAAGAACAGATTTGCATACAAGGAATAAACTTAACACCCACACGCTCAAAAATGTGGGGGGGCACAGATGCTGCCTACGCTATGTAACACCAAAAACTACCTTAAATCCGAGTACAGGAAGAATCAAAATCATCAGGAGCAACACGGGCAATCCAGTTATTGAGCGTTCTCTTAATCTCAGAGTGATTAACATAAGCCAATTCATACATACTGCACAGATTCACGATGACTGTTTCATTGAGAGCCACAGTAGGAACTCTTTCCAGTGCATTTTCCAGTACCTTAATCGAATCTGCTAAATCCCTCAAGTACATCAAGCAAAGAGCCTTGTTGTTAATGGCCACCACGTCCGTATGGTCCCTCTCGATGCACTCCTCGTATTCCCTCACTGCTGATAGATAGTCCTTACCCACCAAGAACACCAATGCCTTGTTCCTATTCACAAGGTTCTTGATCTCTACCTCGCTCAATGACACACTACTCTTCCCTTCTTTAACCATGTCCTCAATCTTATTAAAAGAACGCTTTGCACCTTCAATATCACCGACGTGCATTTGTATATACCCAAGTTTGGAAATCAGAGCAGGGTCTGAAAAATCCCGACTAAGCAAATTATCAATCAAACTTAAACAAACCCCAAACTCTTTGTTACTTAAATGATGACCCATAATACAGTTAATCACAAACACTTCCCTTTTCTTCCACAAATCCACTGAGACATCAAGATTTTTCTCCTGTTTATCCTTCACTTTTGACTGTACAAAATCCAGAAGTTCGTAGAACCGGTCCAGCCCTTCTTGACGCTCGCCCATTTTGATAGGGATCAAGGCATGTAGCCACCGGAGTGAAAAGGGGACCATCGAGCCAGTACGATTAGGGTAAACACTTGGATAAGTTTCGTACCTGTATTGAGAGCTATCAAGATCTTCAAGAGAATCAAGTTCCGCCAAGCCTTCAGCGAAACGACGCAATTTGACGAGGGCAAGAACATTGTAAGAGAGATAAGTGAGGTGATCATGGGGCTTTTGAAGCAGGGAAAGAGATCGTGCCCTAGCAACCTTATCCAAAATCGAACGCCATGAGCCGCGAGTGGCGAGATCTTGAAGAGAGGAAAGCTCGTGCGCAAGATCGTCAAGCGAACTGAATTTACTGGTTAAAGGATCGGAGGAAATGGTCAATCCCTCGATTGCTGATGTCAGGGTTTCGGGATCGGAAGTTCTGTGAGTACCAGAATCAGGTGACGGCGACTCACTTTCCATCTCGAGCGAGGATGATTCGGAGATCGAGCAGTCGCCGGGATCTCATAAACCGGCGCACAGATCAGAGATAGATAGCCTCCTCTATTTGGATCCAAATAAATTGATGGATATCAAATTATATGGGCTTGGGCTTCTTATTTATGTTGGACCAAAATGATAGGCCCATATATCCCAAGACCAAATGAGCTTCCTATTGGGCTCCATCTATACACCACGGCCCACTGAGAGGATTTTCATATATACCCTAATAATTATCATTTTTTTATTTATTTATTACCATAAAATCTCGTAATTAATGGGAAAATTAAAATGAAACGTATTTATTTATTACCATTTCCATATTTACAAAAGCCCTTTAAATAGGACAGTCCCCAAATTCATTTGTTCACCAACTCAAAACCTTAGAACAAAAAGGAAAATGGCTCCCTTCCTCAAGCTTTTCGCTGCCCTTCTCTTCGTTTCTCTCCTTTACAAAGGTATAAATTTTAATTTCCAAGTCCATTTTGTTCTTTTATTTATTTATTTATTTAAATTTTTATATTAAATATATATATATATTTTTAGGAAATTGCCAGTGTGTTTCGAATGACATAGCAATAAGTCAAAAGATGACTGGATTTCAGATTCATGGAATGACAGAATGGAACGTGACAATAAGCAACAACTGCTTGTGTTCTCAGTCAGAAGTGAAGCTTGACTGTAGAGGATTTCAAACTACAAAAAGCATCGATCCCTCAATATTAGCCGTTACTGATACTGAATGTTTGGTCAACAATGGACTCCCAATATTCAAATCGAACCCCGTCATCTTCACTTACGCACAAGACCCTAAATTTGACTTCAAACTAATCTCTTCCCAAATTGCTTGTTCTTAAATCTTTTTGTCCTTGATTGCCCGTAACTTGGTTTTATTGTTTATGTCTTGTCATTTGAATGGTCCAAAATTTCATGTTTATCTTAATTTAAGAATTACATGTTGTCTTGATCTATATCAATTGCTAATAAACTATTTTTATATTTATTGCTGATAAATAATTTTGACTATTGACATTAATATGTCACCATGATAGCTATTTGTTACTAAATAAACATATATTTGTGTGTTTAACAATTGATCATAAATTATATTTTCAAATTAAATAATTTTCTATTAAAAACACGTTATCATATGTTAATTAATTCATAGGCTTTAAAATAGTAAAATAGTATGAAATATTAAGATAATTTTAAAATATTTATATAAGAAAATAAAAATGAGAAACTAAAAATAATAAAATAAAATATTAAGGTACTTTAAATAATAAAATAATATAAAAGAAATAAAAGCAAAATAATATATATAAAAAATAAAATAATATAAAAGAATTAATGTATTTGATTGTCATTTAGTTACAAAATATCACTCTGTAAAAAATATATTTTTATTTGACTGTCTCATGAATCCGAAATCTAACTGACTCCGTTAGAGTTTAAAAGTATGAACCCAAACTAACCCGAAAAACTAATCCAACCCAATCCAAATAATTTGTGTTGAGTTGGTCCAAGTTATCGGGTTGAATATACACCTCTAATTTAGAGTATAATAGTAATGTTAAAAAAAAAAAATCAAGAATGAGTATATAATTTTATTTAGATTTATATCAATAAATCTCAAATTTTATCAGGGTAATTTTTAGTTTAAAAAGAACGGTAAAATAAATGCTAATTAGTAAAATAGAAGACGATTGAGTATACATGGTAAGTCAATTTTACCTTAATTACCAGACTAATTGCGTTAGTTTAATATCATTTATTTTATTACCCATTTGCATGTTAAAAAAAAAAAAAAAAAAAAAAAAAAAAACTTTAAATAGGACAGTTCTTAAATTCATTTTCTCAACCACCATAAACAAAAATGGCTCCCTCTGCCAAGCTTTTCGCTGCGCTTCTCTTCGTCTCTTTTCTTTCCAAAGGTATAAATTTAAATTTTTATGGTTTATTTCCTCTTTATCTTCCCATTATCACGATATTTTTTAAATATTATTTATTCTTCCAGAAAATTCTCAGTGTTTTTTGAGCAACATAACAATCCGCCAAAGTATGACTGGATTTCAAATTCATGGAATGACAGAATGGAACACGACAGTAAGTAACAACTGTTTGTGTTCTCAATCAGAAGTGAAACTTGATTGCAGAGGATTTCAAACTACAAAAAGCATCGATCCTTTGATATTAGCCATTACCGACACTGAATGCTTAGTCAACAATGGACTCCCAATCTTCAACTCAACCCCTATCACCTTCACTTATGCACAAAACCCTCAATTCAACTTCAAACCAATCTCTTCTCAAATCGCTTGTTCTTAAATCCTTTTATCTTTAATGGCTACTAACTCAGTCTTGTTGTTCACGTCTTATCATTTAAATTCCACAAAATTTCATATCTATCTCAACTTAAGAACAAGTAAACGTTGCCTTGCTTTATCCGTTAGAAAGCTTCGACAATTATTATGGATTTTATGTGGTTGACTTAATAAACATGTTTTTTTTAGTAATAGACAATAATTCAAGGATGTTTCTTCGACATTAGAAGCTAAAATAGGTGTTGAAGATGTTGAAGAGAGAGTAATTATAAAGTTAATTGACTTTTTAATATAAAGTTTGATTTCATCTAAATTGGGTTACGCGGATGGGAGAATAAACAAACCTTCGAAAACGACATATTCTGATCACCATAATTGATTTTTTAAACAATCAATTTATTTATTTAAGGCCGCCCCATTGCTATTTTATTACTTCAAATAACATTTAATATCCATATTTTTTTATTTTTAAAAATTAATTAATTCACAACTACCGATCAATTTCGCTTAATTTTTAATTAAAATATTATTTTCTTCTAGATTAAATGACAGAACATTCTTCATTTGCATTTTTTGTTCTGTCGTTGGTTTTTATTTATTTATTTATTATTTAGCGGATCATTTCTAGATAGACAGTTGATGGCACCTTTCTCATATTTACCATATGTTTCATTCTTCGTCTCGAAAATTTTCATTTATTTTTAACTACATATCAAATTATTAACAAATAATTTTTATCTATTTATTATTTTTTTAAAAAGAATTGTTTTAAATTTTTTTAATTTTTTTAAAAAATTCTATTATATCATATAATTAGAATCTCAAAATTAATTAATTAATTTTTTAAATATATATACATATATATTTTTAATGTCGGTAATTATATTTATATTAAATAGGATATGGATGGATTTGGGCGAAAAGGGGACGAGAATATAATTCCGTCTCCAACCCCATTTATCTAATGAAAAATAAATATTATCTATCTCGTTTCTAACCCTATTTATTTAACGAAAAAAAATATTATACACTCTCTCTTCATTTTATCCCTATCTAAATGAAATATCAGTTTAAACCGAGAATTCGAGAATAGAAAACTCCTCCCTACCTAAACGTCTTCCTTTTCCATTTTAATTAGTTGAACTTAGAATAAAGATAAAAGAAATCATTTTGAAACTATGGTCCATTCAATATTTTATTATTATTATTATTTATTTTTAATTAGAAATTAATTTAAGTTGACTACGTGTTTTTGTTATTATTACGTTCGATTCTTACCCTTAAACAAGACATTTTTTTTGCAATAAATTTAAAAAAATTTCGACCAATATTAAATTAACCATTTATCTATACTTTTAAATATGTTAATTTTTAACCATATTTACTCTAATAACTAAATTATTATAAATTTAATTTAAAAACATACTAAATTTTAAATGATGTAACTTTGTTAAAAACGCAACCTTGTAAATTTCGGACGAAACATCCTAAGTTAGACTAAGAAATAGTCAAATTAAAACCATCACATCATTACTATGAATTAAAAATATATATTATTAATTTATTATTTAAAAAGTCCCACCAAACACATTCACTTTTGTACAAACAAGACTGGGTTAATTGAATTCCATGTATCAACCATAACTATTCAAATATGCTGTCTTGTATTTAAATATATAAATAAATAAATATTACCCAATTTAATTTTCTTTTAAAAATAATTTAGTGAAAGATTATAAATTTATAAAGGATGAATACTATCTCTGTTGGCAATAGAGCAGGCGCACGAGAGAATAAAATTCTTAATTAATTAATTTTTTCTTAATAATTTTACAATACTTTTATTTATTAAAAAATTTAAAATATCAGAACAAAAATATTAAAAAATTGGATTGATTAAACTTTGAAACAAAGGAAAGAATTAAACATAATGTAAACAATTCACATAGAATATCTTTTTGAAATATTAAATACATCTAAACCAAGATATTAATAAGCTATGATTAAATAATTATATGGGCTAATTACTTGAATAATGGGTATTCGTAGGTAAGATATATCTAGGGGTTTAAAGTGGACCAGGGCTTGATCGGGTCAACGATTGTAGGATATTTATACAGACCTTTGCAAGCTCTTCTGCAAACCATCGATTACTAGAACGGTTCAAAAATGGGTTCGCTGTTACAGAGTAGACAAAACCTGCTAATTCTTCTCTGTTTCTTCGTGTTCTTACGGGAATCTCGAACTGCTGAATCAAGAACTCTGTACTACAAATGGGAAGTTAAGTCTGAGTTGAAGTCCCCTGATTGCTTCAAAAAGCTCACTTTGACCATTAATGGCCGATCTCCTGGTCCCACTATCTATGCCCATCAAGGCGACACTGTCATCGTTGAGCTCAAGAACAGCTTTGTTACTGAAAATGTCGCTATCCACTGGCATGGAATCCGACAGGTATGTTGAGTTTCATCTTGTGGGTTTGGTTTGGTTTGGTTTTTTTGTTGTAATGTGTTTGGATTTTGTGTTGTAATTGAAGATTGGAACACCTTGGAGCGATGGAACAGAGGGTGTCACTCAATGTCCTGTTTTGCCTGGTGAAACATTCAAATATCAGTTTGTTGTCGACAGGGTGAGTGTTGGATTTGCTGGTTTTTGTTTTTTTTAATGAAGAATTTGGCGCTGAGTTTGTCGAATTTGAAATGTGCAGCCAGGGACGTACTTATACCATGCGCATTACGGCATGCAAAGAGAAGATGGTCTGTTTGGATCCATTGTGGTTTGGCTTCCAGAGGGTCAAACAGAGCCGTTCGCCTACGATCATGATCGGAATCTTATCCTCACCGATTGGTATCATAAAAGCAGCCATGAACACTCCGCCGGATTGGCTGCCGCCGGCTCTGCCTTCACCTGGGTCGGCGAGCCTGATGTAAACTCAATTTCCCAAATTCCCCTGTTTAATTCGAACTGATTCATTCATTTACTAATGGGTTTTTTTCTAATTTCTCAGTCGCTTTTGATTCAAGGAAGGGGACGGTTCAATTGCTCTCGGTTGGGAGCTTCTGCTACCTGCAACTCATCCAGCCCGGACTGTGTTCTTTATCCAATCACCGTCGTACCGGGAAGAACTTACCGGTTAAGGGTCTCAAGCCTCACTTCCCTTTCAGCTCTAAGTTTCCAAATTGAGGTAATAATCTTAATTTAATTGCTTGAAATTCTTCAGAAATGGCTGAAACAGAGTGTATTGAAAACAGGGTCACACCATGACAGTGGTTGAAGCAGATGGGCATTACGTCGAGCCATTTCAAGTTAGCAACTTGTTCATATACTCCGGCGAAACATATTCTGTGTTGATTAAAGCCGATCAAAACCCTTCTAGAAACTACTGGATTACAACCAATGTGGTCAGCCGGAACAGCACCACCCCACTTGGTTTAGCCATTTTCAATTACTACCCAAATCACCAACGTAAATTCCCTCCGACGACACCTCCGGCTGGACCTGCCTGGAATGCGGTTGCACCCCGGTTAGCTCAAAGCCACGCCATCAAAGCCCGACAGGGCTTCATCCACCCGCCGCCAAAAGCCGCTGACAAAGTGATCGTGCTACTCAACACACAAAACACCGTGAACGGACGCCGGCGGTGGTCGTTAAACAACGTGTCGTTCAACATGCCGCACACGCCTTACCTTATTGCATTAAAGAACAATCTTCTCCATACATTCAGCCAGGCGAAACCACCCACTGGATACGACTTCAAGAACTACAACATTTTTGTTCCGCCGCCCAACCCTGAAGCGACGGTGAGCGACGCCATTTACCGATTGGATTTCAACTCAACGGTGGATATTATTCTACAGAACGCCAACATGATGGCTCTAAACACCAGCGAAACTCATCCTTGGCATTTGCACGGCCACGATTTCTGGGTTTTGGGATACGGCGAAGGAAAATTCGATATGTTTAAGGATCCGAGCAAGTACAATTTGGTGAATCCGATCATGAAGAACACTGTGCCATTGCACCCATTTGGATGGACGGCTTTGAGATTTGTGGCTGACAATCCTGGCGTTTGGGCCTTCCATTGCCATATCGACGCCCATTTCTTCATGGGAATGGGTGTTGTTTTTGAGGAAGGGATCGAAAAGGTTCAGAAATTGCCTACTTCGATCATGGGGTGTGGCGAGAGCAAGAGGTTCATAAGGCCTTAATTTTTTATTTGCCCATATTCTTTTTAGTTCTAATTTTTTAAAAATTATTAGTTCGATAATTGTAATTGGTATGTGTAATAAAATAAATTAGTGTTGATTATTATTAAATTTAATTAATTGTTCTATATATGAAAATTTTCGTTTGTGGTTTTAAATATGTGAAGAACTCAAGATCTTATCCAAATGTAATGGCCGATACTCCGCCGCCACTCATTCAAACACTGCCGCAAAGGATCAGACAGACCACAGTCCGATCATACTGAAATGGCGCTCTCTTCATTAACCTTCACAACCCCAAGAGCTCAGGCTTCCCAAATTTTCAGCCCCAGATTATCTTCCGCCGTTAAACCCACCCCTTGTTGTTCTTCTTCCTCAGTTTCTGCTACTAAGAAGGCAATATCTAATGTGGGCATTGGGGTTCTTGCTGCTTCGGTTCTGGCTCTGTCGCCTTTGGATGCTAACGCTACCAGGATTGAATACTATGCAACTGTTGGAGAACCCCTTTGCGAGTTCAGATATGTTCCTTCCGGCCTTGGCTATTGCGACCTTGCCGTGGGATCCGGTGAGGAAGTTCCTTATAATGAGCTTATCAATGTCAGTTCCTAACTTCGATTTTGAAGTTTGTTTCTCGCTTACCATCAAATTGAAATGCTCTTGCATTGCTTCGTTGCAATCGCCAATTCCCTCCAATGCCTACTTTTTGCAATTTGCTAATGAAATGTTCTTCAATTGATAATCGTTTCATAAAATCATACAGGATTTTGTGAATTGTTGTTGGCTTATGTACCTTTTAAATGCAGGTTCACTACACTGCAAGGTTTGCTGATGGGATAGTGTTTGATAGCAGTTACAAGCGAG